GAAAAATCAGATCTGCAGCGGCGTTGTGAGCGTCACACATTCACAGCGCCGCTGCCTACTTCAAATTCACGAGGCCCACGTCAATCCATGCCATCAACAAAAATAGACAAACCACAACCATCAATCCGTAATACCACAGATCTGCAAAATCAGACCAACCACGACCATTCCACCGCACCTCCATCTCCACCGTCGCTGCACCCACTCAATCACACACACCGGACTGCCTCCGCACGCATCTGTAAACGGAGGGACGCTGCTACAACCATCAATGGGGAGGCGACGGAGAATGGCCCGGAGGGAGAAAGGGGGGAGAGAGGAAGAGAATGGAGGCACTTGAGAAACCCGTAGCGTCGGCCGGTGATGGAGAGGAAGGGAAGAAGAGTCTGTAGCGACGGCGGCGACGTTGATTACAGAGACGGGAGATTCAATTGATCTAGGTGGAGGAGATGGTTTGAGAGGAGGAGATTCAATTGATTTAGGGTTTGGTTGGGATAGATAGGATAGGGGATTATATATAAATTAATTTATTGTAAATAGATATAAAAATAAAATAATATTTTTAAATTAGTAATAAAAACCTGAATTTTGCAATATGAAACTTGAATCAGGATTTATGAAAATGGTAACTTAAAAGTAGGGTTGGGTGTAATTTCTTCTATAATTATCCCATTGGTGAGAAAAATTATCCCCATATGGCCCAATTAACAGCCATTTTTTTAGTAGGATGAAGTGGGGTGGGGAAGAAGATGGAAAATGAAATGGAAAAGTGATGTAATTCTAATTGCACGTTGTGAACTTTAGGGAGACTTAGGGCCGCCCTTCCCAACCTTTTGGGGAGTGTGGATATGTCTCCTCGACCTATAAAATTAAATCAAGACAAAAGCAAGGATGCTTTCAATTGAAGAACGTTTCCTTTACTTCCAAGTATGCACTGCTAGCGGTTAGACAATGCAGCCTCAGCATCGTCTTCAGGCTATCCTTGGTGGTCTTTTTTTATATGACAAGCTTTTAAATATACCACTCTTATTTAGTCCCCATTATGTAAAAATTCATTTTTAATCATATATTCTCATAATAAAATATTTTGTACATAAATTCAAAATTTTTTTCTATTTTTAACCACGCATTTTCCAAAAATTCACTATTACAAAATACATTTTCAATAAAAATTGAGGCTCAAAACCTTATTCACTTGTAACTTTCTTTTAGACGTATCTATCATTTGAAAATAAAAATTAATCTCTATCTATATTTATAATATTCTAACAAAATCCTCCAACCGCCATCCACCGTGAGTATAGACTACGACAACCCTAGAGTTGGGGGTGATATGAGGGGAGAAGGGATAGGGATGGTGGGCAACCTGAGGAAGATTGGGGAGGTGTTTGAGGTGGAGGTGGAGGTGGAGGTGGAGGTGGAGGTGGAGGCATAAGAGTAATCGATATAAAGATAAAAAATAAAACATGTGTGCTCATGAATATTAAAATTGATACTCATTAAAAATTTAAATTACATTTAAATTGAAAAGTTTTCACGTTATTCGTTGAAGGGTCACAGAATATTATTGAGTTCGAATTCCATACTGGTTTGCGAATGAACTATAAACAGGAACATTTTTGAATTTGAAGACCAATATTTAGATCAATCATTGACGAGGCCAAAATAAAGACTTTAAAAATATAATTGGAATCAAAGTACAATTGATTTAGCAACATTATAAATATAAAATTAACCTACAAATAATATCTTAAAATCTAATGAAAAAGGGTTAAAAATTTACAAAT